CTCTAGAGGATCCCCGGCTCAAAGTGGACGATCCGGGTGTCGTTCTATTAGAGGTTTTACGGTATTCGAGATATTTTTGGTGATTTTTTTGTCTTCATACCTTGACGGCGATGGCTTCTTGAGGTTGCCGGTTAAATTTTACATTAAAATCTCAATTTTATTCAATTTCAATGAAAAAACGTGTGACACAGTAAAACTCTCTTTTTTGTGATGTTATTTTTTGAATAAATGAAACGTTTTGCACTAGGAATCGCATGAATCAAATACAGTTTTATTGTTGTTAACTACAATTTCCGACATTTGCCCTTTCATCATTTGATAGATTGGTTCTTGGTCGAAAGATGTAACATTTTTCGGAAATCCAGCTCCTATTGATATTTGTCTGAAATAATATACTAGGGGTTTTTTCATTTTTTAAACTTATCAACCTGGTAAAATGGAAACCAAAATCTGGTTTCTCCCTTTCTATCCGCTCCACAAAAGTAGTGAAATTCGATTTCCATTTATCTGTCGGTGAACTGACATACAATGGTTCACAAGCTACAATGTCCATCTGTGCATCTGATTATCCAGATGGGAGACCTACCGTAAGCAGCTCCTTGTAACTTACTATTCGCTTTGTAACCACACTCTTGGTAAAATAATTTAGCATGGTTAGTCCAACTATTCCCAAAAGTCACTATTTTGTATTTTCCAAGTCTTGATAGGCTCTGAAAAGAGAAACTACAGTAGAGAGCTTCGTATTTGGAAGGATTACTGTATGCCTACACCATCCGTATGGCGTGTTGATACTCTCGTAGACACAAGAAAGAACGTAGAGATTTTTCAAGTCATTAATATTCCAACGATGCGTCTTCTAAAAAATCCAAAATTGGAAAAGTTCCAATCCTCATAGGCTATGATAGCTTACCAATTGTGGGTGATGGTATACATTCATCGGTCCTTGCACGTTTAGATGTTTTGTATGAGTATCGTGTCGTGCACAATTTTATATGTCAACTTTTGAAAACAAAAACAATTTCAGAGAATGAAACAAAATGCTGAATGGATTAGCCGTACTCGTTGAACTGCCAGTCAAAACAAGATATATTGAAAAATGTTTTTTTTTAAATTGTGGTCTTCTTCTATTATGTGAGAATAAAACAAAGTATATTTCAAACCCCCTGGTAAGTTATCGTACAAGTTCTTTATTGCTCAGCTAAAAAAAACACTGCATACCGTCAAGTCTTAAGAGACGAAATGTGAGCTAGATGAAATTCATTGAAAAAAGTACTAGAAAGAAATTTGGAAATTGTAATAACAACGGTGAAAAATGGAAATGGGAATCACGAGATACAAAATTCAGAAAAAAACAATGACTACAATTTTCTACAAATATCAGTCCAAATATGCCTGATTTTTTCAATTCCATGAGGTGATAAATGAAGTGGAGAAGTGTAATAAGATAATCCTTTCTCATCAAAAAATCGGAATGTTTTGGTTGCATTGTTATAAAATTCCGGAAAATAATCAATAAGTTCACATTTTCCTTCACAATCCTTCACCAATTGAGCATTCCGTTTTCGAGCCATTTCATATTCATGTAGCCATACAAGTTTTTTCTATAATTTCATATTTCTGAGCTCCGGGTTTTCCGGTTACTTACATCGATGGTAACTGGGTCCGTTCCATTCTTCACTAAACGAGCAATTTTGTAAACAAAAGCAGAATCGACTCTCGGAATTGCATCCAAAATGTACAACTTATATTTAATATTATCTACGAACTTTAGCATTTGTTTCTTCATAATTCGGTACATGGAATCTTTCTCAAAACTTTTTACATTTTTTTGCCATCGTGCACCGATTGACATGTATCTGGATTTTCATAACAGATAGAAACGCTTTTCGATACGGCAAACCTTGTGACAATGAATGCATAGTCTGGTTTTTCCTTCCGAATGTGAACTTCAAAATCCGTGAAGTTCTCTCGGCACATTTTACTCTGGGCACTGGGGTATAAAGGCTCGCATCCTGAAAGTAGTTGATGAAAACGAATATATCTTTACAGATAAGTATCTTGGAAGCACTAAAATTGGTAGGAATATAATCTTAGGTTTGATTCAAAGGTACTGTAGTTTTCAAAGCCGTTCCTCAGGTATAGATATTCGAAATCCGTAAAATTCTCTTTGCACATTTTAGATTGTCCGCTAGGGTAAAATGGTTCGCATCCTGAAAAAACTCTTAGTTATATTCTTGCAGTAAGTTGAACATCCCATTTGAGGATATTCAGACTCACCAAACGCAGCTCCTTGCATTATACTCTTTGCCTTATACCCACATTCCTGGTAGAACATTTTTGCATGATTTGCTGCCCAACTGTTTCCAATGGCAGCAATTTTGTATTTTCCGGATAGTCCCTGAAACTAGGTTTCTTTTTCTGGAAGGACCTATCAGGCTTACAGTATGCCTGCACCATCCCAATGGAGATTTTGAATTCTCGTAGACACACGTGGGATCGTACAAATTTTGATAGTCATTTATGCTCCATTTGTAGTTTAGGCGCTCGGCGTCGTCTGGAATTCAGAAGATCCATTGCGTTCAGAAATCCGCTTCTTACCAACGGTCATATTGGCTGTAACATCGTCTAGACTTGAAATATTCTTCCCGATTGAATCAATATGATTCGTAATCTCATTCCTATTGATTACAACAACACTTAGGAAAAATAACACCACCACGAGAATACCGATATTTGTAGATGATAGTTTTAGATACCATCTTTCAAAAGTTTCAAATGTAATTACGGCAAAAATCATAGATGAGATCAGAGCGAGGATCAGAACTGAAATGTGCCCCTAAATTTTGAAAACAAAATAGTCTTCTACCCACGAGCTTGGTTTCCTTCACAAGTCAATTTCCAATAAGCATAAATTGGCCAATGAATCAGGTACAGGGAATATGAGAGATCACCGATATAGGTCAATAATTTGATAGATAATACCCAATTATCTTCAGATACTAACATCAACAGTCCGGTGCCAATTGTTACGACTGGTCTAGAATTTTTCTAAAGTAAGATAAGCGAGTCGACTCAAGATCCACCCAGTACACCAAAGGTACGAAGGGTACATGGAGGGTACATGGGATCTTTGGGTTTAGGATTTATTTTTGTGGAACCAATGTACCCTAAGAACTAGGTGTACCCTCTTTTCAAGTACCCTTGGATACTGGGCCAACCGAGTCCATATTATATCCTAGCTTACCTCACAACTAACGCGGATAGAGTGGTTGGGAACATTGTGACGCATATCAAAACCATCAATGAAAAATACGCCATTTGCTGAGAGTATTTTAGAATGTTCGAGAACTTCTCATTGGGACCACAGTCCACTTCTTCATTCTCCTCGTCTTCTAGAGTCTGCTTGGATTCTGGTTCTGATTCTTCTTCATTTTTTAATATTTGATATTGAGTTGTTGTTTCAGAGATTCCGCCGAGCAAGTACACTGTCATTCCTAGAAAAATCTTGGTTTTTTGAAAAAAAAATTGTTAAATACCAATCAAAAACTGCCAAATTCTAGCAAAAACGCTATTGAAGGCCACTGAGGAGGGAAGTGTATAAAAATGAACGAATGAGATGAATCCAACTACTCCATAGTATCCCAATTGAAACTTTTCTGGAATCTTGGTAGCTAGTAGAAAAATGAATGGAACCAAAAAATAGAACTGAATTTCCACGGATAACGACCAGGTATGGGTGAAGATGTCGACTGCGATGGATAGCTGAAAATTTAGGTTTTGACGTGTTAAGAATTAATTTGAAAGTTTTACCATTGTAAAATAATCCTCGGCAACTGTTTTAGGCCGATTGGACACGAAGAGAAGAGCATGGATAGCAGATTCCTGATTAGTTTCGATAGCGGTATCCGGGAAAAATGAATAGAGGCAAATCATGGAAACAAGGATAACCAGTAGGTATAATGGGAGGATTCGTTTGAATCTTTTGGAGTAAAAGAGACTGACTAATTGGCATGGGGATTGATTTTCGGCACGTTTCAACAACATACACATTAGGAATCCGGATAAGACGAAGAATCTGAAAATATATTGGACATCCTGATTTAAGATGTTGAGATAGACTTACTGATCAACTCCAAGGTATCCATTTGGACAGTATTCTGGATAAAAATGGAATCCAAGTACTATTATAATAGCCAATGCACGGATGCCTTGCAGGTCCAGTCGTTTAGATGTTCTACGATTTTGTTGGTTCATTTCCTGGAGAAATTATATAATGGAAAAATTATTGAAGCAATCAAGTTAGAAGTTTCAGCAACAAAAAGAAAAAATGGTTAGAACGAATCCAGAGGATAATGTAATTTTCTTACCATTTTTAGCTTTCTGGTTTAAAAAACTTGAACACAAAAATTGTCCAACTATTGAAAAACGGAGCGATGCGAGTTCAAAAGTATAGGTTTCCGCAACGATAAAGATTTTATGAGCGTTCTGCAGAAATCGGAAGATGAGGAGGAAGAGAAAGGAGAAAGCCAAGAAAAATGATCATTGATATGCAGTTAAAACACAATTCGGACAAAATATATCTGGATAAACAGATACACAGAGAGACATTGTAATTTAGCTTTTGAACCATTATACAGGGACTTGTCAAATTTTATTTTCAATATTTCAGAATGAAAATTCCACATAATGCAATAGAATTGGAAGGATATTTTCAGAATCTTCTCAATTGAGTGCTGCGTTTCTTGCGTCTTGGTGGGAGAAAAGCGGCATCACGGCGAGCTTGGACGGAGCTTCGATTTGCGGAATTTTTCTGAAATTATAGTTTTTGATTAGCTATATCATGGAATATGAAGGGAAGGTATCAAAAATGATTTCAAAAAAGGTGGTATCTGTCCAAAATGAAAGTCCATTGGAAGTTAAAAATTCAGTTGGGTATCGAAAGGTTCATTAAATAGTAAACTGGAAAACTTCTGCTCGAAGCTATTGGAGAAAGTTATTAAATTTAAAAAAACCACTGGTTACTTTTCTTTTGACCAAAAGAAGGTATTCAAATATCAGAAGGACTTTTACGGTAAAACCTGTAATACATAGAAGGAACCCATGCTGTCAAGTTTGAGCTAATTTATCTCATTTCTTGTAATATATATCAAAAATGTTTCAACTGATAAAATAATTCCTATATTATGATACACAATTTATCAGTGGACAACTTTTCGATATCTTTTACAGGAACCGATAAATATTGGCTCAAAGTTAGGGGCCCTTTTATTACAGGTTCTACGGTCTTTCAAAGCTGATTACTTCCAAACGAACAACTTTCGAAAACGATCTGAATTTCTCAATCCCAAAGAGTCCACAAAAGTCTATTTTTTAGCATACCTTATCACAAATAAAACGTAGTGGACCTGGACCAGGTGGCACTGGCATATAATCAACGAACACCTCCAGTAGAATCCACACAAGAATTATAAGCCAAATATAAAAAAACATTCCAGAAAGAATGAGATTGTTTCTCAAAAATTCCCTGTTTTATAGCCCAAAATCCGTGAGTCATGGTTTGCATAATTGAATTGTGGGTCTTTGATGTTTATGGGAAAGAAAAAAGAATTTATTGGGAAACACTCCTGAAATTGTTCAAAAACAATGGGAAAAATGAGATACAAAATCAACAACGGTTATAATTTTTTACAAATATCCGTCCAGACATGTCGGATATGTTCGATTCCATGAGGTGATAAATGTTGTGGTGTAGTCCAATAAGAGAATCCTCTCTCATCAAAATATCGAAAAGTTTCGGTTTCCAAATTATAAAATTCTGGCTTATAATCTACCATTACGCATTTCCCTTTACAATCCTTAACCAGTTGAGCATGCCGTTTTCGAGCCATTTCATATTCATGAGGTCGAACTAGTAGGTTCTGTAAAATCGTCTGTCTGTGTGTCGGTTTTTCCAGTCACTCACATCTATGGCAATTGGATCAGTTCCATTCCTAATCAGACTTGCGATATGGTTAACTGCACCTCTGTTGATTCTAGGAATCGCATCCAAAATGTACAATTTATATTTTATATTCTCGATGAATTTGAGCATTTGTTCCTTCATAGTTTGGTAAATTGGGTCCTGTTTGAAACTTGTGACATTTGAAGGCCACGGAGCACCGATTGACATGTATCTGAAATTTTTTCATATTGTAGAAATCTCGATAAGGAGTAAACCTTGTGAAAATAAATGCGTAGTCTGGTTTTTCCTTCCGAATGCGAACTTCAAAATCCGTGAAGTTCTCTCGGCACATTTTACTCTGGGCACTGGGGTATAAAGGCTCGCATCCTGAAAGTAGTTGATGAAAACGAATATATCTTTACAGATAAGTATCTTGGAAGCACTAAAATTGGTAGGAATATAATCTTAGGTTTGATTCAAAGATACTGTAGTTTTCAAAGCGGTTCCTCAGGTATAGATATTGCTATGATTATTCGAAGATTTTTTGCACATCGTTGTGATTTTCATGAGATATAGCAATTTTGAAAAGCGATAACTCAGCTCAATATTGATCAAATCATTTGAAACGTGCCCAGTTTAATGGTGAATTATTTGCATTTTTGTATTCCAAGTTTGAGCCCAGTACAACGCTCGATTCAAATTCTATGCTAGTTCAAACTTGAGTCCTGGTGATCATGTGTCACTACATATATGAATATGTCCAAACTGCTGCTAATCATTCACTATCAATTTTCAGAATTCGCAAACTAACCATTTTTGCTCAAAAGCTGCTCAATACCAGAATTGAGTCAGATATGTACCTTAAAGTCGTCCAATTTTAAACTTAAAGACGCATCAACCCCTACTACAGTTGCAAACCGCAACCTAGTAGGCTGCAGGTGAAATATTGAAGTGATACGAAACTCAGAGAAAATTCTCTGAGTATTTGAGCCCCATGAAACCCCTGACTGCTTTCCTGCCTCACCAAGCGGCCCCTGTGAAACCCCTTCAGACTCACCAAACGCAGATCCTTGATAAATACTCTTCGCCTTATACCCACACTCCTGATAGAACATTTTAGCATGATTCGCTGTCCAACTGTTTCCAATGGTAGCCATCTTGAATTTTCCGGATAGTCCCTAAAATTAGATTTTCTCTTCTGGAAAGTCATGCCAGACTTACAGTATGCCTGCACCATCCCAATGCAGATTTCGGGTTCTCGTAGACACATGTGGGATCGAACAAGTTTTTATTGTCATTTACGCTCCATCGGTGGTTTAGGCGCTCGGCGTCGTCTGGGATTTGAAAGTTTTCTTTTAGAATTCAAAAAATAGCTTCTTACCAACTGTCATATCATCTGTAACATTGTCTAGACTTGAAATGTTCTTTCCAATCGAATCAATATGGTCCGTGATCTCATCCTTATTGATTACAACAACATTTAGGAAAAAAAGCACCACCACGAGTACTCCAATATTTGTAGACGACAGTTTTAGATACCATTTTTCAAAAGTCTCAAATGTAATTACGGCAAGGATCAGAGCAGAGATCAAGGCAAGAATAAGAACTGAAAAGTGACTTTGAATAAGGAAACGGATAAGTTAGTACTTACAAATTTGGTTTCCTTCGAAAGTTAATTTCCAATAAGCATAAATTGGCCAATGAATCAGGTACAAGGAATAAGAGATGTCACCGATATAGGTCAATACTTTGTTAGATAGTATCCAATTATCCTCAGATAATAGCATCAAAAATCCGGTACCCATTGTTACGACTGGTCTAGAATTTTAAAAGGATAACCGAGTCTTTGTTATACTGTAGTTTACCTCACAACTAAAGAAGGTAAAGCCAATGGGAACACATTGATACATATCAAACAGATCAATGAAACAAATGTCACGGGCTGAGAGTATTTTAGAAAGTTCGAAAACTGTTCATTGGGGCAGCATTCTGTTTCTTGGCTCTCTTCGTCTCCAAGAAGCTGTTTGGATTCTGGTTCTGATTCTTCTAGATTATTCAAAACTTGATAGTGAAATTCGGATTTAGAGATTCCGAGCAAGTACACTGTCATTCCAATCAAAAACTGCCAAATTCTAGCAAAAACGCTATTGAAGGCCACTGAGGAGGGAAGTGTATAAAAATGAACGAATGAGATGAATCCAACTACTCCATAGTATCCCAATTGAAACTTTTCTGGAATCTTGGTAGCTAGTAGAAAAATGAATGGAACCAAAAAATAGAACTGAATTTCCACGGATAACGACCAGGTATGGGTGAAGATGTCGACTGCGATGGATAGCTGAAAATTTAGGTTTTGACGTGTTAAGAATTAATTTGAAAGTTTTACCATTGTAAAATAATCCTCGGCAACTGTTTTAGGCCGATTGGACACGAAGAGAAGAGCATGGATAGCAGATTCCTGATTAGTTTCGATAGCGGTATCCGGGAAAAATGAATAGAGGCAAATCATGGAAACAAGGATAACCAGTAGGTATAATGGGAGGATTCGTTTGAATCTTTTGGAGTAAAAGAGACTGACTAATTGGCATGGGGATTGATTTTCGGCACGTTTCAACAACATACACATTAGGAATCCGGATAAGACGAAGAATCTGAAAATATATTGGACATCCTGATTTAAAGATGTTGAGATAGACTTACTGATCAACTCCAAGGTATCCATTTGGACAGTATTCTGGATAAAAATGGAATCCAAGTACTATTATAATAGCCAATGCACGGATGCCTTGCAGGTCCAGTCGTTTTGATGGTTTCGGCTTTGGTTGGTTCATTTATCTGAAACAAAAGAAGGAAAAAATTGACTTTTCCATGAAGGCATGGGAATGGAGGAAGAGGAAAAAAAACGATGGGAACCAGAAAAAGAAGACTATTGCCATCTATAACTTTCTGAAAAAAGCCGACTTCCCACTCAAAACTTTAAAATAGGAAACTTGCAAAAATTGTGGAAGAATGAAACTTGTAATACACAGGACAGCCATCCGTTCGTACCATGCTGTGCAAATATAAAAAATAAAATGCAAATGATGTATAATGAATAATGTGCAAATGTAATAAAATAAAAAGTACAATTTTCTGGAAGTCTTTTAGAACCTTCTGGAAGTTTTGAATTTCAGAAAATCCAGATAAGCAACCGTTGAAAAATTCTGCAACAAGCTTGTATAGCATGAACTCTTGACGCCGGAAATCTGTTCAAATATAACATTTTGGCAAACGAAGATCCAAATATTTAATTAACCGAATTTTGAGGGCGGAAGGGGATTTTGCACGAAATGGTATGATCATTTGAAAAAAAAATGAATGGAAAAAAGCAAAAAAAAATAAGAATTGTGTTTTCGAAACTTATTGTCTGTGAAAATATGTCTTGGAAAACTGAAATTCTGAAATTCTGAAATTCTGAAATTCTGAAATTCTGAAATTCAAAATACCGAGATTCCGAATTTCTGATAATCGGAAACTTTGATATTTTTAAATTCTTCGGTATTGAGATTCTAAAATTCTGATATTCTGAGAGTTTGAGATTCTGAGGTTCTGAAATTCTGAAATTCTGAATTTCTGAAAGTCCTAAATTTTGAAAATCTGAAATCCTGAGGCTGTGAGATTTTGAGATTCAGTTTTTCAGAGTTTCCGTCTTTCAGAACTCTAAACTTTCTAAATTTCAAATCTTTAGAAGTTCAAAATTTTTTAGTTTCTTCTATGTGTTTGTATGCATCTTCGCTGCGTTTTTTCAAAAAATTCATTTTTCAAGATATCACGATTTAGTTTTGATTTTTATTTTTGCCACAGAGAGAAATTTGTTACCCGGAAAATTATCAACTAAACGATAAAGAAACTAAATTTGAGTTGTTCAAGAAAAATAGTTATTTAGGGTACAGATTCAGCGTTGCCAGACGAGCCGGTCGTTTTGCCGACTGAGCTCGTTCATACAGAGCATCCGAGTAGATCACTCCGTTCGCGAGCCCATCAAATGTTGGAGTTTTTGAGGGGAATAATGATTTGGAGGTGGATACTGAAATGAATTTTGAATCGACTTTTTTCCAGAAGAGTCTTACGTTTCTGATCACTTTTGTATTTATTAATCACATTACTCTGTTTGACAGGCTTGAAGTAGCTATTCGCCAGATTCTCAGAATCACTCTTCGCCAGTCTCTCTCGCAATTTATCGTCAAAGTTTGATCTCAAAAGCTGGTGTTCCTGTTTGACAGGTTCGTGCACATATCCTGCAAAATTCCAAGCTTTACAACTCAGAAAACGCGCTCCAATTACCATTATTGGCCAACGGAAGTATAGTTCGATTCATTGACATCTCCGGGAGAATCCATCGACTCTCATCTTCATTCCAAATCGCTTCCTTCTTAATTCGATCTATATTACTGTAGTTTGTGTCTTTCTTAATGATTGGTTGGATTTTATCCATTATTTGCATTAAAAGTTTCAGTTGTTGGTCTTGTTTTCTGATTGTGTCTAGGTAATCCAACCGGTCCAGTTCGAATTCACCGTGGAGATCTTCGATTTCTCTTTCGTAGCCTTTGGACTGAAATTATATATAGTGAGTGTCTTTGTATCCCTAAATCCGGATGTCCGGAAACAATTTCCAAGTAAAGAAATAGTGTAAAATAACTGAAAATATCTGGAAATAGCTTATGCGAAGAGAGGAGCAGACAACGAATGACCATATCTCGAAAACTATGGTAGCTATAAAAAATTGGAAGACTGCAAAAATGCTTAGCATAAAATTTCACACATTTTGGAATTCACAGCTTTCAAAAGGTACTGTTGTTTTCGAGATATGTGTTTTTAAAGCTATACCTTTTTGACTTCCTTCTCCAACTGCGCAGTGACTGCATCCAATTTCTCTTGTGTCGTACTGTACACTTGTAACAATGGATCATCCTTGTGCACATTCAATGCCGCTGAAATTTATTGTTTTTTTTTCATGGATTATTTTGTTCATGGTTTCCATCCAGTCGGGATGTTTTGCCGACCGACCGGCAACCGACCGAATTTTTGATCTTGCTGATCAACAGACCAGAGAGTGTTTGCGTACGCAGCGTTATTTTACAATGCACGACGCATTTCTTGACTTTGTGATTTAAAAAATACGCAAACACTCTCTGGAATGCTGACGTAAAAAGGCTTCGGTAGGCGGTCGGTCGACGGTCGCCGATTTTCAACAAACCTGCCAACTTCTGTGTCTTTGTCTCCGCCTCCATCAACTGTTTCATTCGTTTCTGCTTCAGCTGCGTGTTTCCAGCCTCTTCCCCTCCAATAAACTGATCCTGAAGCTGTTGGATCTTCTTTGCCGCTTCTTCTGGATTCAAATTGTCCAGATTTGCATTCGCCCGCTCGTACTCCAACTTGAGATCTTCTAAATCCTTCTGCAACTCTGCTTTACTCGTCTGCTCGCGCTCATACTCTCCACGTAGATCATTCATAGCTTGCTCGAATTCTTCTCGAAGTTTCTTCCGTTCCTCTTCAATCGAGAAGGCGTCAGGAACTACAGGACCAGCGGTACCTGGTTGAACCATCGCCTTGAGTCGTGCGATTTCTTCTTGGTACTCTCGAAGTAAAGCGTCTTTTGGATCCTCGTTGATAGTTGGCTTATTCTTAATGTTCTTTGCACGATTCGCATACCTCAACGTGGAAAGTGTCTCATCATAGTTGTCACTAGATGGGGACACACAGGCGATCATGATTGTTTTGGTGTTACCTCCAAGGGAATCCTGTAGTAGCCTAGTCAGCTTACTGTCTCTGTACGGAATATGCTTTGATTTTCCATCCACCAGAGCGGATATGACATTTCCTAGTGCCGAGAGCGATAAGTTAATTTTTGTAGCTTCTTTGAGACGATCTCCAGTGGCTCCAGTTTTACTCTGACGTTCACTTCCAGCCAAATCGACAAGATTCAATTTTCCCATCCTGATGGATCCGGTCTCTGTCATTCCTTCCACATAGACAGTGAAGATGGAGTGACTTCGCGAGGAATCCTGGAACAGTGTGTGTTTTTGTAAAGATGGTTTTTTGAAAATTGCTAATTTCAAACTTTCGATTCGATCCACTAAACTAGGTCGTTGTAGGCCATTTTATCATGGTGGCCTAACTCCTGCAAGGTTAGTTTGTTAGGACTGATATTCACCTAGTTTTCTAGGTCGTTCACCATGGTGACCTAGAAAACTCAACATGAGAAAGTCAGGTCACCATGACCTAGGAAACTAACCAGGTAAACATCAAGTCAATTCTAGGCCATGAAATATAATGACCTAATATTCAACTAGTACGTTTTCTAGGCCAAGTAAGGCTACGATGTCAACATGGCCTAGAACGCACTGCGCCATATTTAATGGCCCTAACGTTCGACGTACTTTCGAACAAAATCTTAAAACCCAGACAAAAAACCAACCTTATTCATCAAGGTTGCTCCGACATGTCTGTTATTAAACCCCCTTGTCATTAACTCCTTACAAGCCGGAACATCGTGACAAACATGCATAGAGAGCCCAGCGACATAGACACCTCGATCCGGTTGCTCCTTGATTTCCAGCTTTTGTTTGTTGTCAGCGCCAAGCAAATCTCGAACCTCTTCGTTGTAGATCTGAATTTCTTATTTATCTTGAGTCCCAAAAGTTTTAGAAACCTCCAGATAACTGCAATGCACCAAAAACTTCACATTTTCAGTGGTCGCTGTTGCAGTGAAAATATGATCAAAAGCGCGGGGAATGACACCTCGTTGAGCTGGAATACTCTCGACTCCTTGCATGGAAAACGTCTTTCCAGAACCGGTTTGTCCGTAGGCAAATACCGTACCATTGTACCCTTCGATCACGTTCTGGAAAATTCTTTTATAGTCTTACAAGGCTAACCGTGATTGGCCGCTATCTTGTATAGCTTTGCCTTATATCAAAGTTCAAAACGCTAGACCATGCTTATAAAATTCAATTTCCGGGATTCTCACCTCAACCAACGGAAACACGATATCATTATAAATCTGCTCTCCTGTGGAATCCATAAAGTAGGATCCATCGAATGTGAAGTCTTTGCTGACACCGTCCGGGGCGATCAGGTTCACCTGACCCATATTTGGGGTGATGCCAACGCATAGCTGAAATTTCAGGTTAAGATATGAAAATTCTACTGAAAAAGTTTACAGTTTGTTGGTAGTTCAACTAAGTGATACGGTAGAGGTCATTCTAAGAGCCCTAAACTTTGAGGTCAATTATCTCGCTTCCTGTAAAAGGTATAAAAAAGTGGTCAACTAATAAATTGCTAATCATAATATCACAAATATTTTATCAGTTGACAAACTTTTGATATCTTTTGAAAGAAACGATATAATTGAGCTCAAAGTAGAATTATAAGTTTGGCTTCCATTAGAGGAATAGAAGAGCTCCTAGCCCCTAACTTCGACCCAATTATATCTCAGTTGCTGTGAAAGATATCGAAAAATCTGTCAACTGATGAAAAATTGATGATACACTGATAAGCATCTTATCAGTTGACGACTTTTAGATATCTTTCACAGAAACCAAGATATAATTGGGTCGAAGTTAGAAGTCCGGGAGCCTTGCTATCACGGTGGGTCTCGGCCCCAAGTCTTTTCCCCAGAAATTTTTTTTCGGAAAATTGGTCACCATGAAAGTTTGTGTCTTCTCCGAACTAAATAATTTATTGCACTTTACTTTTTGCTCTGTTTTTGCCTTTTGCTCATCCATGTTTTTCTAATGCATCAATTTTGAAACCTTACATTTTGTAGTCTAGAGCCTAAAGTCTAGAAATTTCTAGAAACTACAAAAATTCCCCAGAAATTCTCACCAAATTTTCCCATAATTTTCCCCCAACATCATCTACTCTCACGCCTACATAGGATCATTAATGTTTTTCAGAAACTATACGATTCTGAATGAAAGACGGAAATTAGAAAACGTAGACAGTTCCCTATGGGACGTCTGGGTTACTGTTATTGTAATAAGCATTGTATAGTGTACCGGAAATTGAAGAATACAATTTTTTCTGAGAAATATAGCAATTGAGGAAGTTTCTAGATTTTTGAGAAGAATCGTATAGTAAGAACGTTTCATAGACCATGTTCATACTCATTTTGAAGCTCTTGACTTGGCAATCTCTAATATTTTTTAATTTCTGAAAACTGACAAAAACGAAAACAATTATTATCGTTTTAATGACAAGGCTAGAATCAGAGTAACCAGACACACTGCGTCTCTAACTCGAAAACTTAAATTTTGAGAAACCTAGACATTTTTATACTCAGTGTAAAGCTCTTTTCTCCGTGAATTCAAAATTTATGATTTCTGTGAAATTAATAACTATCAGCCAAGTTACAGTAATATTTCTGAAAACTCTGATTTTTTGAACTTTAAACGTTTAGGTCTCGAGTGCAGTTTCTTGAAATTCTGAGTGATGGCGCCTTTTTTTTCAAACCCCATACTTATTTTTCAAATAGTGAAGCTTCCAAAAATGTTTACTATTTTTTAATACTACTCATGTAGTACTAAAACGCACTCAACCAAACTAAAAATGTAAAGCAAGGCGCAGGTGGGAAACTTATGTCCACCACTCTTTTTCTCTCTAAAAACATTCTTTATATAATTATATCAGAAACGGGCATTCATTTCGTCGTATATATTAGTCATAAGAAAGGCTTCTATGCTTTAGGAAGACCTGAATTTATCAGAAAATCTCAAAAATTTATTCGAAGAACTCGGAAGATTCAAATTACCTGAGTATTCAAATCCTTTTCTCTCTGATTGAACGGTCGACATCTGACAGCTACACGAACGCTTTCTGCCATCCAAACAGAATAGGATCAGATTAGTTACAGCAGGAACAAAAAACGTAGTATAACAAAAAAAAAAGAGGAGGAGGACTATGGATGTCGCGAAGCAACCGAGAATACACACCCCCAATAGAAAAAGAAGAAGAGGTGAGACGAGAAGAAGAGGGGCGAGGAGAAACAAAATGCAAAGGAATTGTGGCTCCTGTGTGAAAAAATGAGAGAGAGGGAGAGCAGCAAAGAGAGAAAACTCCACCCCATAGCAACCAGATATTGTTATGCTTCTTCTTTCCCCGTTAGTCGGCGGCACATGTGGCAAAATTGAATTATATTTACGAAGAGAATTGTTTCATCTATATATTTCCGGCTTTCTATGCCCCTTCTGATTGGTTTTTTTGTGAGGCGAAAACAACAGATAGAGCTTTCAACTTCCCTAGTGTGAACGAACGGAAATTGGAAATTGATAGGTTTTTGAGAAGCGCCAGAGGAGAACCAAAGTCATCTACTCTCACGCCTACATAGGAATATTATTGTTTTTAAGACGATTCTGAATAAAAAGGAAAATTAGAGAAGATATAGACAGTTACCTATGGGATGTCTGGGTTACTGTTATTGTAATAAGACTTGTATAGTGTGCCGGAAATTGAAGAATACATTACTTCTGACAGAACAAAATATTCATTGAGAAAGTTTCTAGATTGTTTTTGAGAAGAATCGCTGACGCTTCATAGATCATGTGTACACTCATTTTGAAGCTCTTGACTTGCCAATCTTAAATATTTTTGAGTTTTTTTGAACTGAAAAAAAAATGAATAAAGTTACGGTAGTTTTCATGCCGAGGCTAGAATCAGAGAAACCAGACACACTGCGTCTCGAACTCGAAAACTTTTTTTTTTCGTTTTTTCACGGACAGTGAAAGAATAACTGCTTTTTGTCTCTTTTTTTTGTTTATTTTCCGTTAAAAAATTCGAAAAATAAAAGTTTTATTAGAGAGGAAAAAATTGACTGAAAAATTGAAAGCGGACACTTGGGTTC